TCTAGGATAACCATCTTTATCAACAAGGATAGCAGATACTCTGTCTGGCATACTGTCGACAAGGCTTGGTGTGTACTCTTGAGAAACATGGTGCTACAAGCTGGAAAGTACACACCTCAGAGGCACGAGAGGATTCATCTATACCTTTTTCAGTTTAAGATGTCCGAAATCCAATTTACGAGGTCACAATATGAATTTAAGAAGTCCGAGTATCAATTTAAAATGTTATGTTGCTATGTGGATAGCACAGTACAGAGTGAAAACATAGCAGTATGANAGTATGAGATCTTAAGTTGTCACTCGGACATCTTAAATTCATATTATGACCTCTTAAATTGGATTTCGGACAACTTAAACTGAAAAAGGTATAGTTCATTGTGTGAGTATTCATGACTCAAGGAAATTTTTCTTATATTATTGATTACTGCTAATTTTACAATTAAATCCTCCAAATGTGATAGTGGATATCTGTCCAGGGCTGCGAAACGGTTCACAGTAAGCTAATAAGCACCATAAATTCGAACAGAACTATCTGGTTTGCTCATGGGAACTATCGGTGTTCCTCGTTTGCCTTACTGGACTAGATTAATTAATCCTTCCTTTTGCGAGCTCTTCAGTTTTTGTTCTATCGTCTATCGAAGTGTCATTCAAACAAAATTTGATTCTATGTTTAGCAAAAAGGGCGGAATAAATAAATACTGATGATGTCATTAATCCAGGGTCTTTCTTTTGTTAGTGGTTTTTTCGTATAAAATGACTGTCCAGAACATTTTGTGGATGATGTTTGAAGACAACGTTGATTCCGAAAGAGATTTTTAGATGTACAAAAGAAATCAATGTGCATGGATATCTCACCTAAAGGGTAGTTGGCTAGCCTTAAACTTGAAACCGCGGTCGGAAATGCTGCCACTAAAAAACAAGGTCCCTGATTCTTCAGTGTCATTTTAAATACTATTTCATTGTCCCTGCAGAGTAGCGTATACCAGCTGAATGAACAATCACCTTTTGCACGAGTTCAAGAACACCACTGCCCCTGGCTTAACGCCGGTGAAACTATTCTACTATTCTTTCACACCTTTCAAAATCTCACCACACATTGAGGGTAAATGAGACATTTCGTCCTCGCGATCGGGCTCCAACTCGCCTATTTGAACCGACTAAACATAGCATCCTAGTTAACGCCGAGGAATCTGTCTAAATGACCACCTATCCCTTGTGCGCTCAAAAACAATTTGTGAAATAAATAAATAATAAATGTCTTTTTACTTCTGTTTTATTTATTGAATATACAAATGTCCACTGAACATTCAGGAAGGGGAGCCACGGCCATACAAAGGCTTTTCATCCTCCCTCACTCCAAATCACATCAGCAACACGTAAAAAGTAAGTAAAATTTCGGAGAGGAAAATAAGCTGAACCCGGTTGGTGAAACTACGATAGACAAAAACGTCCCCGTTTGACTATTCCTTTCTAATTTCCCTTTATTCTATACAGAATGATACTATCATAAAATGTGATGTATCAGGCAGTTCATGATGTACCGATGATGCATGCGAGCCTGCGGCTTAAGTGCATATCATCTGCCAACGTGCGCATCTTTAATTTGCTCGTTCCACGGATGTTATCGATTGATATTTATTCAGATCTATTAACCTCACGCGCTTATTCATGCCAATTATGTCAGTGGTCGATCTTCAGCTCGAGAATGGCAGGTACCGTAGATCTCAGCCCCGTGACGTATTTGGCAATAGGACGCACGCGAAAACGTTCATAACCGCTGAGGGATTGAAAGGGATCCTACATGAACAGCAAACTCAGTTTGAAGCGATTTAACTACATTAGATTGAAAATCTGACTGGAAAACTTGGAGTTTCAAATCCAGTTGCCGCAAATGACAACAGTAACACGGAGTTCCGTCTTGAACCTGATGCCAGTATTTTTGGAGTCATGGCTTAAGCGATTCGAAGATTTTTTCAAATTCGAATTGAAGAACAAGAATGATGTAGGTAGACTGAGGCTGTTCATGAAACAATGTGCACTAGTGAACACAAGAGCAACAACAACTTCAGTGTACCGATGAATGTACGTGCTTTCAACTTGGATGAAACAGTTTAGCAGGTGTCAGAAATGTCCATTTTACGTTCGGCCTAGTTTAACATACGTTACCATCGCATGAAAGTGGCCAAGCAAAAAGACGCATATTTTATAACTTATACCAAAAGAGTCACTCTTGAACGAGAACAATTCCAGTTATCCATTATGAAAGAAGATCAGTCTAAATAGTTGGTTTTTTATTTGGCAGTGTGGCAAAGCGGCACTTAGTGAAGCTACGTTCCTAGACGAACCTCAAGTGTTCACTGTTCAAATGTTGCAGGCATACAGAGACACAATGTTGAACCAGATGACGCAACAGAACGGGCAGTTGCAACAGCAGATCAAGTAACGGATGCCGATAACCTCAGCCTAAATTTGCAACCGTCTCTGCTGCAAACGAACCAAATTTCAAGCTACGCTGGAAGTACGTGATGGTTAAATAGAACGCAGGAAAATTTCCTTTGCAACTCGATACTGCTTCTCAATTTTGTCCAAGTGTACTTGGGAGGAAACTGGTTGACCAAAAGGTCCACACATAATAAACACAGTCTTAAATAGATCAGGAGATATAACCTGTTGGATTGATAAATTTGAGTGTGAGATGGGAATCGCAAGTAAATGAAGTCATGGATCTATGTATTTAGTCACTGACCAATTGAAATCACTTGATGCTGACTGAATCGATTGCCTGCAGCTTATACATACCAACTGATTAACTGTGTTCAACCACAGCAATCCATATTGATGGGACTTCTTTCCGTCGCCTAGATAGATGAAATTCTACTCGTTTTACCTACTGAAATGAGGTTCAGTTCAAATCAAATGCTGTTTTGTTTGATAGATTTTTGGAGCAATAAGCCTTCTTATCTTCTTATAGTTCATTCAGAGGACGGTTTTGAGTATTCTTTGCTTCGTTAGCATCGAAACATCCAACTAAAGTATCGACTTCATCTCCGATACCCAACACAAGAAGTTTTAGATCATGAGCGGTAACCTGCGCTGACTATCTCCGAGAGCTTTTTCTAGTGTTCAATCCATTCAAGACTGTTTTGTAAGTGTTTCCGCTTCATACATCTCATTACAATGCATCTGAAGCTATCACAGCACATAGAGATCTCATGTGTGAAGCTAATAACTTCTACATCTCTCGTTATCAGTCAAGTGTCCTCAGACAGGTATGAAATATATATGTATACATCGTTATCACTAAACCTCTTCCCACTCAGTATTGTTGACTATGTGCTCTATCCCTTGGTACGCCGGTAGAAGTGGCAAGAACATAATAGTCCGACAAGTGCATTCACCGAGCGCACTTGACACACTGCTCGGGTAAGACAGCTGACTTTAGTTAGTAAGATAGGAAAAAAGGCACGCTCTGTGTCCCGATCCACTTAGTCAGCCGGTGTGCTAGAGCCGTGTTAGTCAATCATGAACGGTGTGTGGCCGTGTACCTACTTGTGCGCACAACAGGGATTATCCGCTCGATCGTCGCGATTCACGGTCATCGTTGAGTAATTGGGTCCGATCATTCGATCAAATCGGGAATCCACAATGCGATTGTACCATCGTTTCACATCGACTTATCCCTCTCATCCGGGACTTTAAACATGTAAATTCCCTCGGATCCTTTCTGTGATCTGATTGGATCGTATTCCGTGATTTGCGGCACTTGGAATACCTCACCTCAACACGAGATTGTCTGATCGCCGGTTTGTACTTTTTTAATGCTCTTGTTGTGACAACAAGTCAAGTCCATCCGTGTGGTGATGCGCTCCAGCTATACAATCAAGATTCACTGGACCTGCCCAAGACTCACGGCTGTAAACAAGGTGTGGTTTCTCGCTCGGGTCAGTTGGGCAAGCTCTAGGTCCACTGTTACGGCTGATTCATCCGACTGATCGATTAATGAACCTGATCGGTCATGTGATTTTCGGGCCGGCATGAGAGGAGGATAACCTCTGAATCCGATGCTGCCTAAGTGTTGGTAGAGAATCACCACAGGAGAATCAGTTGTGGAACGATGCGCCATGTGGGAAATTCGCAATGGAAAATGTTCAAGTGATGATAACCAACCAACCAACCGACCAACCATTGACTCGCATAAGATACACGCACCAAGCGGGTTCGGTAAACGGATAATCGTAATAAAACTTTGAACTTGTCTTAAGTACCGACTACAATATCCACTAATTTACGCCCACGGAAAACTCTGCTTGGTATTTTCCCAGCTGGCTGTTTTCGCGTCGAACGATCTCGGTAACTACGTCGGAGATAGAATTATGAAAGAAGAGAATAAAGAAAAAATGTTACGGAAAAATGTATGTTTATTTTTCATAAAAGTTCTTCAATATATTTTCCATTCTGCTGCCTGTATAGCAAAATACGGTGACGATAGATTTCTTCCACTTTCAGAGTGGTAGCAATTGGAATACTTTCGCACTGCTCGACGATGCTCTGGTTAAGCTCCTCAATCGTTCTCGGTTTTCGGGTATAAACGGTTCGCTTTAGATAGCCCCACAGAAACAAGGGGTGACAGATCACGTGATCTTGGAGGCCATCCGTTTGGTCATCATCAGGCAACCCGTCTGCAGTTAAATTTCGAATCGAGGAAATTTCTCATCACCAAAGCATTGTATGAGGGTGCACAGTCATGTTGGAACCAAACTGTGGTACCAACTTCAGTTTCCACACGCCAGATGGCAGGTACAATATTATTTGGTAACATTTGTAGGTATGAGGTACTTTAAGCAACGTAATAAGCAGAATTGTTCTTACCTGTTACGGTTCCGTTGAAAAGTACGGCCCGACAATCTTATCGTGCATAATACTGGCCTATACTAACACCTTGGGACTATGAAGCGATTTTGAGCCAACAAAGTGTCTTGGGTTTTCAACGGCTTAACGAATAGACTTTGTCACATTTCCGCCCACATGAAAAATGGCGGTCATAATCAATACCACGAAGTTCTTGCGCGGCAAGATGGTCGGGCCATACTTTTTCAACGGAACCATAACAGTTAAGAACAAGAAAACTCACGAAAAAGCATTATAGTTTTTGATCAGTTTTTGAATATGATCTCACATTAATGAAATGTGCTACTAGAATATTGAATGGACACTAAATTTCTCGTTATCTACTGTTTGTTTGTCAGATTTTCGATCCTGTCAGTATTGTGATGCACCAGCTTGTGTTCAGAGAACCCATTATTCAACGTGTTAGTCTCAGACCGACATTTTGGCCATCTACGGAACGGGATGCAGCCAGCTTCAGATGCACGGTTTATGGAAGTGGCATAAATCTGGTGGCCGAATTGCTATTTTGCTCCAACCAGTCCGTTGGACTAAATACTCAACGGCGTTACCTTATCCTTTCTCGAAAAAAGCTTCCAATATCCGTTCTCGGTCGGATTGGTTCGGTGAACTTAACATGGCTTGAAGTCCCTTCCCGGATTTTTCACGGCGAGTTCATTTGCTTGGTTAGACCGGATAGTGAAAGTGTGCAACGAGAACGATATCTGAATGTTCTTCCTTTACAGACCCGCAATGTACAATTCAGTGCATCGATTCGACATTTGACTATTGTTCCTCACTGTCCTGTTCAACCTTTGCTTAGAGTTAGCACTTCAAGTAAACAACTGAGTTTAGGTTCACGTTTTGAAGCCTCCTGTATCGCAGCCACTACAACAGACGGATTGCCCCTCAAGCTGTATTACTTGACTCCAAAGTTGTCCATCATTATATGCACCAAAATGGAGCTTCGAGTGAATGATACTAGATTGCCAGTCTCAGTTCCAGCTCCATGCTTTTCGGTTGCACCGGAGGATCATGATTGTACCCGCAAAGCTCCCCGCAGTTCCATCGATCGAACGTACTATCCAACACTTTGCAATGCTGCTCAAAGCTCAACGCATACTGCCCTATTTCGGACTATTCACTTTGCTGTTACCAAATTACGACCGGAGGATTTGCACGGTCGGCTGTTTTGCAAAACGATTGATATTTATTCTATGTGGTCTGCTGTTAAACAATCCAGGACACCTCAACTAAACAGTAAAGTTCATCTAATGCGTTTTCGGGTACAGCCTCAGATCTGGTCATTCAATTTTCTCCCCGAATTACAAGGATGGGAATGCAGAGTCATTGCCTATCCTATGTATGGGAGACCAGTAATTCAATTGATCCAAGCTACACCGGTATGGCTACAAATTCAACTGGATAGTTACAGTTCATTCGAGAATCAAACCATGCCAGAAATTTTAAACTCACACCTACTGCCCACTTCAGATAGGAATGAACAGGAAGTGGTATTTGACATTGGATATATAAGTGTCGTTAAATTTCACCCAACCTTTTACACAGAGGGTGGCTTACGCTCCGGAAACGCCACGTTGTCGTGTAGTTTGGGCGGAGTTAGTAAAGTTTTGGTTACCAGATTGGGCTCAGAAGTGATTACATATGAACCGATTATACGAGAACGATTGATTAAACAAGCCGGTG